GAACCCTGAAACAACCTCTGGGCTGATCTAAGTCAGGGCACGGCTAACTCGGAGATTGAACCCTGAAACAACCTCTGGGCTGATCTAAGGCCCTGGCTGAACGAGGAAACAAGTTTCCAGGAACATGCTTCCCGCGCGCGTGGTCCCCGATGATTCCAAGTTTAGCCACATGCGAAACATTGCTACGTGCAACAAATTTTGCTTCCAAGACGCAAAAATGTTTCTGTGGCGGCAGAAACATTTCATGCTTCCAAGACGCATGGAAACAATGTTTTCCAATGTTTCCTCGTTTAGCCACGAAAGTCAACATTCTAAAAGTTCGTCACTTAGCAACGGTAGCTCTATCTTGAAAGTGCGCATGTGCTAACCGATATTGAGTAAACGTGTTTCCCGATGTTCCCTGACAGTTTTGCCTCCTTTGGAAACATTTAAGAAAACATTTTCCCTCGTTTAGCCAGGGCCTTAGTCAAAGCAGCTTGTTAGGTTTTGTGGAGTGAGGAATACCAGCGAGAAACTAACCCTAGAATCGAGGGAGAGAAACCTTAACTCCACTCACGGCATGTTTGTTAACATGTACACCAGTTCAACTATTATCAATGGTTTTGTCCATCAATGCTGGTTCGTTTGCAGTACATTAACTCTATCTGTTGTCGTGCAGTTGGTAGCAGAACTAAGAAGGAAAAAAAAGATTTATAAAAAAAAATTTTAAAAAAAGACTATAAAAAATCAGATAATTACGATATTGCCGGATAAATTCAACTGAATAGATATATAAATTTTACTTACGTGCGTTTCGGCTTTCGTCGTCGTTTTCATCCTTTAAATTAGAACAGTCTCCGCTTTGATTCGCTGCTAACTCTTTTTCTCTTAACCAACAATCCTATTCAAAAACCAGGAAATGATCAAAAGGCTACATAGTACTTTGGAACGGGTCAGAAACATTAATTTGTAGGCGATTACACTTTGAGCAAGAACATTTTCGAACTCTGTTTAATACCGATTTAGATGTCACCAACTCCAAGGCGGTTTTCCAGTTCCTGGAATGGCAAAAAAATCATATAATAGCCTTTAAGCTACGGATACACGGCCGTGCAACATTGCGCGCAATGTTGCATGCAATTGATGTTGCAAGCCAATGTTGATGAAGTAGAAAACTATCCTACTTCAGCAGCATTGCCAGCAATGTTGCGCGCAATGTTGCACCGTGTGTGCGTGCCTTTAGTATCATTAGGCAGATTAAGATTCCCGTTTTTCCTTCCCGCAAACGGCAAACGTGACCACGTTTTCATCGTTTCCCTACATTTCACTTTACCTTTTGCAAACCTTCTCGACAAAAACAAGTATTCTTTTGTTTATCTACTACTTGGAGGTTTTTGCGATTCCTTTTCACTAATTTTAAAGAATTTTTTAATGGTCAACTGACGTTTCACGTTTGCCGTAAACGAGAATCTTAAACTCTATTAACAAGAACAACTGAGTTTTTGAAGCAGGGCAGGCTAAAAGATGCAAAAGCCAAGTGAAGAGTTTTTATCTTTTTTTTGATGTTAGAAAGCACTTTGCAAACCAGCCTTATGCTGGAAGTTAACTTTCGTTAAATCAACTTCTCATGCAAGATACTCTAGGAAATGACACTTGATCAAAAAAATATTAAAACACCACACTCAACTCAAGCATTCAGTTCAAATACGCACATAAATTCCTCTTGACTTGAAGCCAAAAGAACCAATGTTGTTACATCACATACGATATAAATCAGAAAGTCTGGGTTTTCTTTCTGTCGTTTGATCTTTCTACTGCATTCTTCACCATACAGTATCTTCCTACATTTACAAGTCAGGTCCAACATATCGTCAGGCTGAGCGTATGGTCTTGGGCTGATAGACAACGAACCATGGTGAGTCAATTTGAACCATTTCTTCTTCCATCGATTGAAAAGTCCAGCTGAACATTAAAAAGCGGGATGTCATGATATGTATGATATATTAATCGGACCACGTGGAGGGACTAACAAAATTGGACGACCGCGTAGTGTGCTGAGTATGATTAATTTAAACTACGCTATTCTGTGAATACTGAATTTGCAAGACATAATAAATGTAAAACAAATTTACATACGGAACCTCACGGTATACCAATATCATAATTAGAGAGCTTAAGATTCTCGTTTACGGCAAACGTGAACCGTCAGTTGATGATTAAAAACTTCTTTAAAACAAGTGAAAAGGAATCGCAAAAATCTCCAAGTAGTAGATAAACAAAAGAATACTTGTCTTTGTCGAGAAGGTTTGCAAAAGGTAAAGTGAAATGTAGGGAAACGATGAAAACATGGTCACGTTTGCCGTTTGCGGGAAGGAAAAACGGAAATCTTAATCTGCCTAATGCTAGAACACTTTAACCGCATCAGGGCACGGCACGGTATGTTCGTCCGGTGTGAGATTTTACATTCATACATGATTTGCGCTATTGTTAAAATATCCTTGAAATTACCTAAACGTTTTGCGTTTTCACTTAATTATATGTAGCTATTTTTATTAGACGATTTTTTTATAATTTTTTTAATGATTTCTGTAGGAAACTCCACTGAATACGTCCCCAACTCCAAGTTAAACTAGTCTTCATGAATACATTTTTAGCAACACACGAAGATTTAGTTGTTCCCCCTTGATTAGTCCATAGAAATAGTGATCTTTGTAGCAATACTCGCTCGCCAAGCCACAAACAAACAAATACCAATAGCGTAGCGCACCAGATTCTAAAAATAGCTTAAAGATTCGGACAAACATTGCATTCTGTTTAACCGCTACGAGGATTATACGAACCGATTTTATTATTCTTACTTAAAATTACAATAATAACCCATGTAAACTAAGATCAACTGCGATCGGCTGTGAAAATTATCTGCTTGTTTGTCCGGATTTCGCCTTTGTCTTCGTTTTTATGACGTCACGGCTGCGCTGCGCTATTAAAATCCTCTTGTTTTGCGGAAGTAAGACTCAAAAAGCTATTTATAACATGTATCCTTTCGCATATCATTATTTTACTAAAATGAACTTGCATTTTCATAAAACCTGTGCGCTTCAAGAATTTTAGTTCAGTAAACTTCTGAAGTACAAGTTTCACAAACTTTATAAAAAAATTATTTCAAAAAACGATAAATTAAACAAAACAAAAAAACTTTTTAAAAAAAACATTGACGGTCGGAGTTGCCGAACTACTTATGTTTTCTTTTAGATTAGTAATATATGAGGCATTCATTTGAGTTAGAAATGTGATTTTTGTATTTTAGTCAGAGAAAAAACATGAAACCACAAATGATTTCGTTTAGTCTTAGGTCGCCCATCTCCGAACAAAAACGTTTTGCAGAATAGGTCATGTAAATTCTGATTTCCAGCTTCAAGTTAAAGCAATAACTTTTAGCATAATTGCTTAAACTTCACGTAATTCTTGATATTTGAAAACTTTAATATATTTTCAAACTCACCTTGGATGTAAAGCCATCCATTTTGTAGCGATTCCATTATAGTTTAAATCGTATTCATTCAACTCCAAGACTATGACGCAAAACGCCAATAACTCGAATTTTTCAGATTTCTGCACAAAACATCCTCATATATAATTTAAGACGGTCTTGTAATCCAAACATTAACTTTCTTGAAAAATCTTTAAATAGAACTCAATTAGAATAACAATCATTAAATTGACTGCGCCAAGTCTGTTTGCAACCTTGAATTTCATTTGATGCCAGTTCCCTTCTCCTTTTTCTTCTTCTTTCTTTTAAATATGTCGGACTTCAGGTACATTTTCGAATGTACTTATTCAGTCTATTCAAACTGTTAACCATGGTCTTCAATAATGACAATATCCTTCACATCTATAAATTTTCTAGTTCTTGAAATTTGAATACATAGTTGCCCGCCGAGAAATCGTGCTGAGGCTATAGGCCCAAGAACCCTTCCTGCATTAGTATAGTATTTCAAAATTCTGGCGTCCATTATCGTCGACAACATTTGTAAGTCAAAATGCCACGCCGACCAACAGCATTTTGTTTCATCCTCAAAAACACGAGACCGTTAATTCGAGTTATGTATAAGACGGCCAGGAACCTTATTAAAAAGATAACATTCTTAAAGAAATAGTAGTTTGCAAGGTGTTTGGGATATTATCTGTTGTTGTTGGTGGTGGTAGTGGGTCGTGAAGAGTGCCGGGAGGTCTAACACATAGCAAACGTTTACTTAAAGTTGTTTTTATTCAGTTTTGTGTCAAATATACTAGAGCTAATGCTATAGTTGATGCCTGTCTGCCTGTCTGTCTGACCTCAGTCAGCCACTAGTCATTCTGTCTGTCTATCTTTAAGCTATGGCCACCATGACTGCGTGTGTCTGTCTGTTTCAGTATACTGGGTGCTTATCCATACTCCTTAAGGCATAGTATATTACATGTCCATTGGTTCTGCTGAAGTACTAACTTTGGTATCAACAACGTCAACCTTGATGGGGGTCACCGTCTTTGTTAAAACAGCTGTAGGATAATTAAATATCACGTGCGTTAGTTATGGAGCGACTACGTACATTAAACAAGGCTACCCAAACAAATTTTATATCAAATTCTAGACTGCAGCAGTCCCACTTTTCCTCCAGACTCAGAAAAGACGACTGTCTTAGGATTCCAGTGGACGCGCTCAGAGATTGAAGACCCATAAGCGAGAAGAAGGAAGAAAAAGTAGGGACTTCTTCCCACTTATTTGGCTCCAATCTCCGCACGAGTCTACAGCAATCCTGAAACACTCATCTTTATTGTGTTTGGAGGGAAAGTGGGACTGCTCGCAGCCTAATAAAATTCACAAATTACACCTTTGATGCTAAATAACAAAATGGTGACAAAATCTGGAGTTTCAACTCTCACTCCTGATTATACAGTATTTTACTTCATTTGTGTGTGTACACGTACTGTATGAAGTAAATAATGTCCACCATTGACGTTCAAGGATGATATCTGTGAATGCTCTAAACTCAAGTGAAACCAAAGAAGCTGGCCAGTTGTAACAGTATTTGTACAAATAACAAGAAAGGATACTATTGAGCACTGTAACTATACAGGAAAACAAAAGCTACACACACAAAAAATGTTGTACAGCAATTTTTATCTCAAATAGACCCATTTCGAATTCCAAATTACCGCTGTGTTTCTTGATTACAGACTCATTTGCACAGGGTTAGCCTCGAGTTTGTGCAGAATATTCACGTGTTCCAGTCAAGGTCCATCGAGTTTTGAAATGTTTGTATTGTTGAAGTTGTGTATTCTTTACTTTACTGTTGGTATTTGTGAATATTTAAACACTGACACGAGGCTAACCCTGTGCAAATGAGTCTGTAATCAAGGAACACAGCAGTAATTTGGAACTCGAAACTGGTCTGTTTCAAAAGGCACTTTTCCTGATTTTATCTTTGTCTTTTACATTTATCTAAATTGGAGTCCCTGTGGTGAAACAAGAATATCAAAAAAAAAAAGTAATAAAATAATGATAATTACCAGTAGTTCCCCTCTCGTAGGCATAAGTCCCTTGTCTATCCCCCTTGACATTAGCTATGTTATATGGCCTGATGTAGTCTACCCCCTCCTTGGTAATAACACACAAGTCCACATTGCTACCAGAACCCTGCAAAAATGAACAGAAAGTTAGAGCTGGGAAAAAAAACAAGTTATCCCAGTTTCAAGTTACCATAAAACAGCAGTTATAAGCTCTTGGCTTATTCTTCTTCAAAGGCCTTTTTTGTTCTTAGAACAATAGAAGAACAGTGAAATCATGTGAAAATCAGATGGGCTCATAACCGGAGGGCTTATAACTGAGAGGCCTATAATCAGAGTTTATAGACTTCATCAAATATTGTACAAAATATTCTCACTAACGTAATACACACATACCATATGTATAGAGCGTTTTCACTCACGTGAGAAGGCAGCCATAAACAATAGAAACTTTCGGCACATTATTTGCATCAAAATAGAGTTCACTTCCCAGAGGATAGAAAATGTATTGTTTTGGTACCCCATAATGGCCGCTGTGACATCATGTGAAAATGCTCTATAGTATGCTTACTGTACGTGAAGGTAAATTTACCTACAGTCAGTCCTTATAGAGATAGAGGAAGTCATGGTAGGTCACTTGTCCTCCCCCGTTCAGTATAGATTGAATGCCAGCGTGTTGCTAGGCAACCATAATGTACTCACCAAGTCATTAAAAATACCAGCTGCTATTCCATCCCTGACAAGTTGTTTAGCCTCTTCAAGCTGACAACAAACAGACAAAATATACTTCTCTTTTAGAAAACATTAACTCCAACATGGATAATCAAGCTGATCATGCCATACTGTATTTACATGTAAAAGTATACATTGTTAATAATTACAAGTTTATTTTACCTCCATATCAGGTTTGTATCTGGATTCAAATACAGACATGGCAGCTAGAGAGCCAGAACCTAGGAAACACAAAAAGTATTATTATTACTGATTACAAATGGTATTTACTGTTACCAACAACATTACCAACACTATCATCATTACCATCAGCACCAACAACATCAGAAGTAGCAGCATCAATCAGCATCAACATCAGCAGTTGCACCATCAATATTGTGATACTTATCATCTCCAACATTAGTATCAGCATGATCATGATCATGATCATCACATCTACATTAATTCTTATTTAGTCAGTAAAACGGATTAGATATCACACTATCAAGGATACTTTAAAAAGTCAACCTCATTACAATGAAAAACAAGAGTAAAATCATTAAAGATATATTAAAGCTTACCCATAGTAACATAGGGCAAGGAGTCGGTACTACCATGAGGATAAACTGTATGGAGTTTTGGACCAGTGAAATCTACACCACCAAGGACTAAAGCAGCACTGACATAACCCTGGTACCTGTAGTAATAATAAGTACGATTATTATTTTTAAATTAATTTGTCACTTAAAGCGACAGGATATAGTTACAAGGCTAATGCCCCAATTGCTTAACAATACCCTAATTACGAACATACTGCATTGTAATGACATTTAAATATATGTTAATAATAAATGTACTTTGGATTTATGTCTTTCATTGTTACCTGAATAGTCTTTGTTTGAGCATACGCAATGATGTTACAACTCTTGCCTGTCAATAAAAATGCTAAGAATTAGTATGTGTTTGGATAATGATTACCAAGATCGAGTGCCACAGACATACTTCCAATTTCACACAATGTCTCATGAATTCACCCTCATATTTCTTCTTTCCAGCTAACAAGGTCATAGTTATCTCACCTGTCTACCAGTTGAAAGAGAGTGGAGTTGTATTTGAGATGAGATCAAGTCGGTCACATTCTCTGTGTCTGCCGCTGTGCCTGCTCCACAACAACTAATTATGACAAAGATAAAAGCATATTGGCTAGTGATGCTTAATATGAAAGAAAACTTGAAGTTTGGCTGAACATGATATCCATAAATCTATGCTTCTACCGTATGTTTGAGAATGATCATTCAAAACTTACTTTTACCATACTTAGAAACTATTAACCCATGGAACATTCAATACATGTATGTCATGGAAGGAATTCCATGGCCCAAGCTTACTAGCAGATAAAACTGGAATTTAGCAAGCGTGTTTTTGCAAAAGGAGTGAGACTAAAGATAACGTTGAAAATCCTTGAATAAAGGGAGAGACCCAATAAAACTTGCTCACACATGTATGTATGATCACAGGCCCAAGTCATTTACACTGTATAGCACCACACCAACTAGAGTGAATGCATCCAAAGGTACAAATATATGGACAAAGCATGTCACAATACTTACTAAATATTAGGCGCAATGTAATGAATTTTAGCACAATTTTTGTCAGCAACAATGGTATCCTGTTGATAAACAACAAGCCAACCTTAGTTTACATGGTATACATATTCCATTAATTCGTAAAATTGCAGATACAATGATTCCATAGACCCATTTTCGAGATTGCATGCTGTCTAGACCTACATGTATTAGCCTCACTTGTTTGACTTAAAAAATTTGATTGCATGCTGTAATGCTTAATAACTTATTAATGGTACCTCTGTTGCCCTAGTATCAGCACCAAGAATCACTCCATCCTGGAAAATAACATTCAAGATTAGAAAGATTACTAAATTATGACTATAGAGATACCAGTATGCTGTTCAACTTTAAATAGGTGAATGAAAGTAATATATTTCAGTAACAAGCCAAGCTAAATCATTGACAACAACAAAATTCCCTCCCCTCTCCCCCAATTCACTCAATCAAAATGCCCCTGATCTGGTACACATTGCTTGGACATCTCCTCTCTCCCCTGTAGTCGCTTAATAGTACATCAGAATACAACTCAATTTGGAGGACAAAACAATAGGCTTCCAATTCTCATGAGATTGAAATCCTTTGTTTTGTCCTCCGAATCGAACTGTTTTGACACCACATGCAAGGTGTCTATTACAATGACCCCTATTAAGGAGAAGGTACAGTGTAAAGAGTAAAAGCATCAGCCACAATAGAATCAACACCAACAATGAATGAATGACAAGAAAGTTGGAGAAAACTAAGCTTACAGGTACTGTAATATTAAATCTTACACTGTAATAAGTCAAGTTTATAGAGTGAGAATGAAAATGGAAAATGTTTAGATTAGAGGAAAGGAAAACTTGTCGCTGACCTTAGAAGCTTGCTCTGGTTGGGAAAAAAACTTTTATTTCACTTGACCACATGTCAAAATTTGTCCAAGCCCAGGTCAAAAATATTTGACGAATAAATATTGCAATCGGCCAGAATCTAAATAACTAGGTTTATTTATGGTTTGATTTCGAGTAGCTTTATGGTGTAACAAGGTACGAATCAATCAAGTTTTTAAAAAACTCCTACCTTGAATACAATACCGGCGATCGTGGTTCCAGTCTTCCTTGCTGTCGGAGTTTTGACTCCCATTTTCTCTAACATAGCATTTCTACAGGAAAACAAAATACACTGTTTAATAATGCAAGTTTTCCTTTGTGCTTTGGTAATACTTAGGTTTTACCTGTTGCAATTGTGGAAGGAGAATCCGCCATTTACTTCGGCAATATTTGACAAAGCATTTACAGCCGCCATTTTGGAAATTTTGTGGAGTCATGGTGATGTGCGCATGAGCAGCAGTCTGGTTACTCGTCCCGCCACAGGAAGCCCAGCTTCAAAAACCCTAAAAGCATAAAAATTACAAATATATTTCGTACAAATATATTTACTTCAAAAATAGCCAACAGACATAAAACCGGTTTCTCATTATTTATATTATTACAACATTTGAGTTTCATACTTTTGCTTTTTGATTGGGATCCCTGTGGTCCCGCGGGATTTTGGGGAGACAGCAGAACTCATTCAAGATGGCGGCCAATTTTGAAAGTATTTCGTCCTTCACTGTGTTGGACTACATACCAATAAAGAAATACCGGTCTAAAAGAACGGGAATTCAGTTTTGTTTCGCCCAAGTTCCAGGTCCACTTGTCAATGGCTACCTGTGCCTAGGTTAGTGTAATAGAGAATAAATGTATCCTTATGCTCCGGGAAGATATCATGTCAAAACACGAAACTTTTCGATGGTACAGTACATGTATCATTCATTAACTCCACCGAACTAAATAGAGCAGGTTATTTTATGTTAGGTTTATGATGTTATACGTTAGTCTATAATAAAAAAGGGTAGAATGGATGAGAAAGGTTAGGGTACAGGGTAGGAGGCCCTGTATAAAGGGTACGATACAGGGTGGTATTAATGATGAAAGGTTACAGCTGTATTAATGAAACTTGATTCGTTACTCCTTTACCGCAGTAAGGGTAGAGTAGAGTAGGTAGTTTGGTAAGGCCAGCTTGGTTGAATTAAGCTAGAAAATATAGGGTAGGGCTGTTAGAGCATATAAGACTAGGGTTGTTTAGATTAGATTGGGTTAAGGTGGTGTTACACGGACCAGCTTGCAACGCCTATTTTTTGCGCCAACACTGTTGCACGAAAATTAAAAATCGTTGCCGTGTAACATAGCGCCGAGGACGATTTTTCGTGCAATTTTTCACTCTGCAACGCGTTGCAAGTTTTTGATCTGGCATCAAAAACTTGCAATACATTTAAGATGACGAATTTTCAGCAAATCGATGTGTGTAAAATGTCCATCGCCTCCATCGCCTATTTGACGCGCAACAAAACAGTGCCGACTGTAGAAGAAGTAAGTTTAAAGAATACAGCAACTGCAACAATTGTCTAAACCTACTAAAACAGACAAGATAAAACTTTTTTAGTTGAAAAAAAATGATAAAAGCAAGAAAAGAAGAAAAATGATAGCCATGGGTGAGTTGGCAGCGCGTGGACTGAATACTAAAGTAATTTTAAAGTAAAGTACTAAAGTAAAGTTGTTCCCATGTAACATGTCGAAAAAAATCGGCGCACAAATGGCGCAACAGCGTTAAGCGAAAAATTGGTGTTGCAAGTTGTTCCGTGTAACACCACCTATAGGTGTTAGTTTGAGTAATAGGACATTTGCATGATGTTGTCATTTGACTCCCACTACCAAGATGCTTCACAAATTTTCTTTCTTAATTAAATTTGTATTCCCTCATGAGAATAGTAAGACAATTGGTGCTAATTGACTGAACAAAAGAAAGTGTGCAGGGTGTCTGGTAGTAGAGATCAATGACGCCATCATGCAAACGTTCTATAGGTTATGTAGGTGTTAGGTTAGTTTAGATTATTATATAACACATATGAATATGTTACATTAAGCTGAGGTACTCAACTATACTGTATAAATCTGTTCCAACTAAAAGTAAATATTAAATTGAATAATGGTTTGATGTACAATGAAAAATGTTATATGTATCTATAGCAACTGAGGCTCATGATGATGACGGCCTGCCACATACCCTGGAACACTTGGTCTTCATGGGCAGCGAAGACTATCCATATAAGGTACAGTACATGTATATGATCTTCTTTTGGTATCCTACATACCTTACAGTACATGTACCCACAACGTTTCTCAGGAGCTATGCCTTGAAACTTTCCATCCCTCATCAACTTCTCTTCCTATACACATTTATAATACAGTAATTACAGTTTTTAGGGCACATTTTGCCACATCTCAATACATTGGCATGCTATCAGAGACAACTTGATTTCTTATTTCACCCTCCCCACCCCTATAATTCTTAAATAATATACAGTGTACCTTGTGTTATAGGGTTTGTTGGATTTACTGGCAAATCGTTGCTTGGCACAAGGTACCAATGCCTGGACAGCAACAGACTATACCTGTTATACCATTGAGACAGCTGGTAGTGAAGGGTTTATCAACTTGTTACCAATCTACCTGGATCATGTACTCTATGCAACACTTACGGTGAGTGCTTTTATCAGTTACAATATGTAAGGTGATTGCAGAACATGCCTAGTGCATGCACAATTGCCGAGGTAACCATGACAATGCAGCCTACTTTAAGAAGTACGGTACAAGAATATACATTGACAACTAGAACATAATATATTCTTGGTATAATAAAACCAACCAATAAGTGAATGTGCTCCATTCACTCATATATAAGAGCACTTACAGTAAAAGCACCAAAAGCAATATTAAGAAGTGCACAACTCTTCTTTCGTGCTCTCTGCATGCTTTATAACTGAACAGAGTATGAAAAAAAAGATTTTCTTTCTTAATCTGATATATTGTGTACAGGAATCTGCTTATGTGACAGAAGTACATCACGTCAATGGTGAAGGTGAGGATGCTGGAGTAGTCTACTGTGAAATGCAGGCAAGAGAAAACAGTGGAAGAAGCAGAACACATCTTAAACTGTTGAGAAATCTTTACCCAGGACATTGTGGACTCAAGGTATTACGACTGCAAGAGATCAGCATTTTCCCATATGGACAGAGGTGTTTAGGGGAATTCTTCTTTGAATAACACTGTATTCACTTGCTGGTTTTCAATCATTCCCAAAGGAGTGAAATAACAAAAAACATGGCGTCCATGTTGGTTGATATAACAAAAGAATTCATAAGTCTCAATAGCCATCAGTTTAGTGGAGGGTCATGATTAGGTCTTTTGTTAAATTCAATTGAGACGGTGGCTATAACATCTTACATTTGCAAACAAAGAATACTACTTTCTTTGTGGAAATTCCTAGGAAGCATTGGGCTGTTAGTGTATTAATCTCCAACCAAGGACAGCTTAGTCACGATTGACAAATGAACTAGGAGAAATGGTATCTCAATACTAAAAATATTTTTTTCTCATTCTATAGTCAGAGACAGGAGGTATTATGGCAAATCTACGGACATCTTGTAGTCATCAAAAGGTATAGAAGAGTATATATCTATATCAGTCATTTACATTGAAACTTCACATGAATCTTACACATCCCAGATGCAACTGTCTCATACCCTTTCAAAAAAGTACATGTACAACCATTAACATTCTTATTAATGTACATGAATTAGGTGTGTGACTACCACCGGCAGTTCTATCGACCTGAGAACCTGTGTGTCATCATAACTGGAATGGTTGATCCAGACAAGGTGTTTGAGGCTATCACACCATTTGAAGACAAAATCCTCTCCAAGGTACAATTAATAAGTAAATACTGGTTGTCATTATTCCTGCATGGTGGTATAAGACATTGGTATATGGCAAGAACCCCCATCCCCCCATGGAGGATTGTTTTAAAGACTCCCCCCCCCCCCCTCCTATCACACCATTTGAAGACAAAATCCTCTCCAAGGTACAATTAGTATAGGAAATACTGGTTGCCATTATTCCTGGCAGTATGAAACATTGAGACATGGCGAGAAGTAACATGAATGTAGTTGTGAGTACTGGTATGTAAGATTGCAAATATGATAGCATGATCTGAATATAACAAACATTGTTTTTGTGTTGTCAGGGATCTCTTCCGCCATATACAAGACCTTGGCAAGATCCTATCCCACCCCTCCCCTCTAGTGTCAACATTTCAATCCAGTTCCCCACAGAGGACGAAACATCTGTAATGGTTCTGGTTGGCACCAGGGGACCAGGGTCTAATGATCGGCATGGTTTAGCAGCTGTTCATGTCATTATGGACTACCTGACTGACACCTCAATCGCACCTTTGCAGCAACACCTAGTTGAAATTCCTGAACCTTACTGCGGTGACGTTGGGTATGACCTGATCGAGCATCCACAATCCTGCCTCTATATTATGGCTGATAATGTTGCAGCAGAAAAGTTAACAGCCACAAAAGACAAGATTCATGAAGTCTTGCGTGAAATTGCCTCCGGTCGGGAGATAATTGACATGGGTCGAATGGCATCTGTCATCAACAGGTTGATTCTTGATGCAAAAGACAAGATAGAGAATGATTCTCATCATACGTTTGCGGACTTCATGATCTTTGACTTTCTGTATTCAAAGAGTAATGATCAGCTGGAGTCAAGAACCAAACTCATTACTGAATTGGAAAATTTGGCATGTGAGTCTGCTGATTATTGGGCAAAATTAGTAAAGCAGTATTTCGTAACTGCACCAGTTGTCACGGTAATTAATTCTTTATAACAACAAAATATCTATCTTGTGAAATTTGTATACACCTACTTGCAAGAATGTTGTCATACAAATTTAGAACATTAGTAATTTAATGAGAAAGGAATACATTAAAAGAGAAGAGAAAAAGTTCAGCTTCAGTGATCTTCTTTCGTTTTTTAATATAATTCCTATCCCACTAAATCACTAATGTTCTATTTTTGTAWGACAACGTTCTTGCAAGTAGGTGTATATTTAATTAGACGTAACATTGGCATTGGCATGAAGATAGTGGTTATAATATTAAGAAGCGTTTTTTATATCCATCATTCCCTGTAAAGCCTTGTCGTCACTGGCAACATGATCATAACATAAGCAGAAGTAGAGACATAAGGATCAAAACATCCCATTCTTCTTATGCCTTTGCTTATGTCACTGTATTTCCCAGTGAGGATGTACACTCTTATGCTTATGCTTGTGCTTATGTCACTGAACTTCCCAGTGAGGATGTACACTCTTATGCATATGCTTGCTAGTGGGGACCAAGCTTAAGGGGCTCTTCCGTGAAGTTTGCTCAAAATGCAATACCAATACATTTACTATTTACAACACACACTCAACTCATATGTTGATTTTTACAGAGGGTAAAGACCAGAGAACCCAGATAAAAACACTCATGATGAGACCATGATAATGGTGATCATTTAATGATAATGATGACAAATTGTAATGATAATTCAATGATGGTGTTGTAGCTGATAATAATGATGCAATGATGCTTGTTAATTCCAGGTTATAGGAGAACCAAGTGATCAGCTGATGAAGACAATGGCAGCAGAAGAGAAGCAAAGAGTGGAGGAACAGAAGAAGAGACTTGGCGATGAAGGACTGGCTGAGAAAGCAAAACGGCTTAAGACTGCTTCTGATGACAATGAGGTAAACTTACTATCTTACTGCATTCACACTGACCATAGTCTTTCTGCATATTTAGAAAGCTGGAGTCACTTGCCAGTTGACTTAAGATTGTGATATTGATTTTTCAAAATGTTTGGTTTCAGTGTCTCAGAGCAGGACTTGTTTTGTAAGCTTTTTTCAAATGTCATT